TCGGTATTCAAAAGCTGATGAAATTCTAGAAACGGTTAGAAAAAAAAACAAGGAACGTTTTGAACACTGAATATTTCAGAAGGGAATTAATCTCTTATACTAAACCTAAGGGTGTTTTTAAAACCATGTAGCCTGCTTATAAAGAAAATTTCAGGTTAAAAGTCTTGTGTTCCATTTTTCTGGTATTATTAGATCATCTTATGGTAAAAACTCAAATCTAACCCTCTTAACTCTATCTATAAGACTGATAGAGCTAATTCCTATGTGGATGGTTCTATTATAGAAGTCTTCCGGATATAAACGTTATATGCGTTCAACTTCAAGAATCACTTTAATGAAATAAAAGAAACTAACTATACTTTATCTAAGAAATACAAAGTTTTAGATTTTCCTGATTTTTTTCTTATGGCATGATTATCCATCTTCTTTCTGAACTAAGATATTTAGGTTCTATATGATTTTGTTGAATGGTTTTCTCATCTTGAAAATGACTTTTGATAAGGCAAACAAAAAAGAATCTGTTTGAAATTTGTCTGATTATGAAGACCTTTCTCCTTACACAAATAATTTCGATATTGTTAGACAAAAGTGTTTCCGTAAATTTAAAAAATATATTTTAGTAACTTGATTTCATGATATAGGGAACAAGCATTATTTGATTAGATTTTAAGTAAAATTTTTATTACAATTGCTATTAGAATTATTATTATTTCATTCAGACTTTTCTAAGTAGAATTAAAGACTTCAAGTGAGTCATAGTTGATCTTTTATTTCATCATCAGTTAACATTTTTATTTTTGAAAGATTTAAAAAAGAAAAACAAAACAAATATCAATTTGAAGATATCAAAACGAATAGATTAAGTGTTCATTTTAATGTAAGTTGAATAGAAACAATGCATTCACAAATAAAAATAGTATATCCAGGCATTTTTCGTCGAAGAACTTTTCTGAAAAAAACTGTTTTTCTCTGTTATATCCAATCATTTCTGTAATCACTATAAGTCATAAAAAACCTAGAAGTGTCGTTTGAATAAATCAGAACATATTACATAAACTATAAATCTTTATCTTTTCATAGGTTTTACATGTAAAATATGTCTATGAAATTCTTCATCAAGCACGTGCTATACTTAAAAATTTACCAAATTTTAATGGTATTAATTTGTCTATTTTACATCATATATACATAATTGGTGATCTTCATGGACAATTGGCTGATTTATTGCATATATTTAATGCGGTAGAATAAATATTCATAAGAATTTCTTTTCTTTTTCTCTATTTGACTGATTTTTATAGAATGGATTACCTGCAATTGACAATCCATATATATTCAATGGAGATTTTGTTGATCGAGGTTCAAATTCAGTTGAAGTTATTCTTCTACTTATGGTTGCATTGATTGTTAATCCAACTTCAGTCTTTCTTAATCGAGGTATCTATTTTCTTTTCATGCCTAGTTTTTGATTTTATTTTGTCTTTGTTTCTAAATAAAATTGAAAAGGTAATCATGAAGATATAATGGTTACAAGTCACTATGGTTTTCAAAAAGAAGTTTATAAAAAATATCCGGTTAGTTCATTATTCATTGGAGATATTAATCTATCGAATCTATATTTAGACATATAAAACACCAGTACTTGATCTATTTAAAGATATATTTAGTTGGCTACCAATTTATTCATATGTTGATGCAGGAAAATCTAAACTTTTTATAGTACATGGAGGAATATCTGACCGTATTGATATTAACAAAATCAATACTCTTACAAGAAATCAGTGTAAGATAAAAAATGATATGTATATCTTTTTAGTAACGGTCTAGAATGTTCTTTAAAAAATGTCTTTGACGAGGGTATAGTTATGGATGTGTGAGTGTTTGGATATTAGATTTGTGTGTGAGTTTGCGCATAATATTTATTCGAATTGATTTTTTTTGATTTTATTTCTCATATGGTTTGAAAAGATATGATGCATACTTGTTGTAAAATATTGTTCAATTGTCGAGAAAATCAACTTTTTTCTCTATATGATAGCGAAATGCTATTAATAAGGTTTTCATTCTAAGATTTTTACCATAAGAACTTGACTTTCAAAAACAATGAATATCATACTCAGAATCAGCATAAAAATCCACATCGAAAAGTATGACAATACTCAAAAAATATCTTCGTCAAATTTCATCTCTTAGAAAAATAACAGATCAGACTATTCGAAAATAACAGTAACGAGATAACACGACCAAATTTTAACAAAAATTGATTTTCAATACTGAGTATATTATTCAATGCATGTTTATGTGTCGATTCTGAATATGATATTCATTTAGTTTGGAAGTGATGTTCTGATGGTTAAAAATCGTAGAATAAAAATCTGTATTTATGGTGTTTTGTTATTCTATCGAAAAAATCGACTTCTTATATAATCCAACAGCAAATAGTACCTGATCAAAAGATTCTTTCATCTTTTTCTCAAAGAAAATCTTTTCATCAAAATCTGAAAGTTAGTTTTTGATCGATCGGAGAAATAATCTATGCGCTTAGATATTCGAATAGATGAATAGTGGAATTTCGCTTGCATGGTCTCAGCCTATTGCAATTTTTGCAATGTACCTCATCTATTGTCACCAATGAAGCAACTCAAATACACTCCAAAAATTCTTTTAATGGAAACTTTCAATTATGTATTTCATTATTATAAAATCACTATTCATCTAACATACATACGTAACTCCTGTCGATTAGGATTCGCCTGATTGTTCAATGCTTTCGTTATGATACATTAATTTACCAACACTATCGATGCTACTCTCACATGTATGCATGAGTAAACGAACAGATGTGGATTTCAGTGTAACGATCGACATGAGTAAGCCTGTTTCTGTAGTTCTCCTGTTGAATAATTCAATCAATACCTCACATACCTACTCATCCATACTCAGAACAACCGATCGACAGCATAACCCACACACCTCCACTTCCACTCTGGCACACCATCTGTGAACAGTCACATCCACACACGCGATCAACCATCAAAAGTCATACAAACCAGCGACACTCCGTCCCTTGCTCAGACAAGCTTTGCATGAGGCTTTCTCCGGATTTGAAATTTTTAGTGGATCAATTGTTTTCAAGTTTCGGGACGGACTAAGCAATGTTTTCTGATTTTGAACTGATCCTCCTACTTCGACCGTTTTGTGCCATTCCTAAGGACCACGTAGTGATGCATCAATTCCTAGAACATGATACTCTATCCCAAACTACGGTAAAAATTCATACAATACAAAACAAAAATTTCGGAATGGGTCAAAAATTCAATTTTTTAGTTGTTTCGACCTATTCCAACTGATTGTGAGATCTATATTTTGCATTACAAAAAAACCTAAGAATAGTCTCTGAAAGAACGTACAAACTCAATCAAAACTGATATGGAGGGAAGGTTGCTAAGAGTCAGCTAATTTTCAATACTGGGCGCAGGTTTCTGTAAGCAGGAATAAACCAATTCTTTGTATTTCTAATCAAAGTTTAGAATATTTCTAATGTTAAGAATTACTGGACTTACAGCGGTTCTTCGTACTAGTTCTGATTAGTTTTGATCATTTTTTTTGAATTTTTTCTTATATTTTGTTTAATGTAAAGCATAAATTTCAAAATCAGTTGAAACTGGTCGAAAAAAAACAAAAAAACTGTAAATTTTCGACAAACTTTGAAAGTTTTATTTTGCATTTCATGAATTTCGACTACAACTTCCTATTGATTCAATAACAAGATCATGGTTCATTTAAACAATTTATAGGCATTACAATGATGGAAAAAAAAAACCATATTTTCTTTTAATTTCGAAACGTTGGCACCTTAAATAATATTAATGTTTAGATGTTTCAATGGAAGTACCACCGAGATCTAAAAGTGGTGGTAAACGATTGACTGCTGATGAAGATAATGAATATCGTCAAATGCAAGGTAGTGAATAATACAAATAAAAAAACTTATCTATTTGATATGAAATATATTTAGATTTACTTTGGAGTGATCCAGATCCTCACCATCGTAGAGGTTGTCGAGCAAATGATGAAAGACACATAGGTTGTTTTTTTGGTGCCGATATTACAGAACAATTCCTTAATAAATATAACCTCTCCATGATTATACGTTCACATCAAGTTAAAAAAGATGGCTATGAATTTAGACATAATCGCAGAGTTTTAACTGTTTTTAGTGCATCAAATTATTGTGATGATACCAATTGGGGTGCAATTATACGATGGTTTGTACCTATGACATTGTTTATCTTTTGTTTTAAATATCGAATTTGTTTTTAGGGATTATAATGAACAAGAGCCATGGTTAATTTCGTATAAAACTGAATCTGTTGAAATGGAAAAATTAAGTTTTTATAAAAAGTGAGATAATCTAAATCAAGATATGTCTAATACTTTCTTTTTCTCTTAAAGAGTAACACTATTTGAAGATCCAGCTTATCAATCATTATTAGAAAAAATTATGGCAAATAAAAGTTTACTTCAAAAAGAATTTGAAAAAGCAGATAGAAATCAAACTAGTAATACAATTTATAATAATATTTTTATTGAATAAAAATATTTTGTTTTTGTGTTTTATTAGATCATTTATCTTTGATAGTTTGGTCTGAAATAATGACGAAGGTACTTCAAATTGATTTACCTTGGCTTACATTACGTTCAAAACTTGTACAAGAAGATACACAAGGAGTTCTTTATAATTCTATGTTTGATGGATTAACTTTAGATAACACTAAATTTCAAATGGTATGAACAAAAACAAAGAAGAACTTATAAATTTATATTTTATTGTTATTATTTTAGTCTAATGCTGGTATTATGGAAGATTTATATACGCAGAAAGACATGCTTATATTATTATTTAATTTAATAGACTTCAATCATTCAGGTATGGTTTATATTATTTTGATGAATATTTCTCTATCTAAAATAATATTATAGGTTTTATAAGTCGTAATGAATTTTCTGATGTTGTTAGACTTTTACTTTATAATGAAAATGGTAGTGACCATGTAAATGAAGCAGATATTGAAGAACTTAGTTCTGCTATGGATTTGGATAGAAATGGCAAAATTGATATTAATGAGTTTCTGGGTAAGATTTGAATATGAAGTTGATTCTAGAGTCGATTACATCAGATATAATCATCATTGTGAGTAGATCTTTCATAGGTCGAAGTCAAATTTCGTGTAGTCTCGTCATCAAAGTAAAACTGTATAAATTTGATTTTATATATTTTTATTCAACTTATCGTATGCTGAAAAATTAGTGAAAATCTTTTCAACTTTGTATATAATCTCTATTCTGTTTCTGAAGAATCTGCAAAGGACAAAATCAGAATTCATCGAATGTGAAACCTTCAAATATAATGCGCTACACTTAAAATATCTACTGTTATATTACACTTCAGTTTCGATTCGTCTAAAACCTTTCTCACAAGGGAGAATTACCAACTATTCAATCGTTTTTCGCTTGAGATTAAGTACATTATGTATATCCAAATGAGCGATAAACACTATGAAAAGAGTTCTGGTCAGTAGCTTATTACTACAGAGATATGCGAATAGGGACAGTGACAAGATCTTAAACATTCACAAAAACCTATTCTCCTTAATGTCTGTTTCTATAATCTAAATAAAAAAGACAATTGAACATTTGATGATTTTTTCTCGTGAAAAATCAAATTTCTGTAGCGATAAAAATCTAGCATTAGTGACGTGATCAAGTACGAATAACCGAATGAAAGCTTAAAACGAATTCCAAACAGTACAAGCCCTTCATGAGAATTTCTAAATAATAGTGAGACAAAACGTTTTTGTATCAGAGCTTCATAGATCCTTCAGAAAGTCGGTTTTCAAGAGGTAGTTTTTTATGGAATATGTGATCTTGTTGGGAACTTCTCCATAGATGCCGTTCATGTCGTTGAGTCTATGCAGAAGTTTTTAGATTTTTTATGGTGTAGTTGGAGAGATATTCGCTAATTAGTCATTAACTAAATAATTATCCATTAATTAAAAGTCAATTGTAAGAGCCAACACTGTCACCTAGGTCTATGCTAACAGTAATTATTCATATCAATCATGCTTGTAAAAGAACAAAGTCACATCAAATATAGGTATGTCTTGTTTTGTCTCAAATGGCTTATATACATTCTGTAATTATTTAGTACAAAAAATTAAATTATTATTTTTATTTATGTATTTCGAAAAAATAAAATATTATTTTAGCACATTGAAATGAAAAAGTCTATCGAACTAATCTTTTGCATATGATATATATATTTTTATTTTTTTCATGTTCTAGAGAGTTTTCGTATTGTTAACATGAAGAATTCAGGAAAACCAAAACGTCAAACAAATCTAACCAGACCATTAAGAAATATATTTTAAAATACTAATTTTTAATCATATGGAATGATATTAAACAATAAAATACGTTCATTAAATATTGAACATAACACAATAAATATACGTACACGCATTCATTCCTCAAATCAATGAAATATAAACAAATTCCTCTCTCTTTTTTTCATATTATTGTCCTTGTTTGTTTTCAAATCTTAACAACAAGATATTTTTTCTCGTAGTTTTATAATTAATTAGGGAACAAAAATGAAAATTGATATGTTGTTTTTTTTCTGAGAATAACTAATAAAGATATTCTTCGATAATGGATATTTTTTTCATATCATAAAAGATTATATCATGTCAAATAGGTCAAAATTGCAGATTAGAATGTAAACCTTACCACATAAATATTTATACCAAGTTGCATTGAAGATAGACAAATATTTTTTCGAGTATTCAAATGTTATATTAATCAAATGTAAGGATGTATTGTAGTTATATATGAATCAGAGATGGACACAGAAAAGCACAACGTTGATAAACCAATAATGTTTTTTCGAGAGAAATGAAGAAATAAATGAAATTTAATACAATATGAATATTTCTTTCTTATTAACATGAATAAATCAAGAAAAACCCTTAATAAGTGTCGATAGGGGTTCAGGTACGTCTGTCAGCTGGTGAAGAGAAGATACGCACTTCCGCCTTCATTATTTTTATCGTAATAGTACCTAAATGTCAGCGTCCGAAATTCGATTGAACAAAAAATTGAGATAAAGGGTGTGAGAGTGAATGTTGGTACAAATCTTCACTTCAATCATACCCGCACTCACACTCACCGTCATCACAGATACTTGCTCTTCCCCTCTTTGCAAACCAAAACGACTCCAGCAAAACAATGGAAAAAATTTCTGATCGAACTATAGAAAAAAAAGACAACATTTGCTGATAATCGATTATCATTACAAAAGAACTACCGTCTTTTAGAGAATCTAAACTTTCTGTACTTTGTCATTGGTCTGATGAAACTTAAGAAGATATGTCGATTTCACATTTCAGCCAGAATGGAACTGCACTAACAAGCTTTCTTTTCGTTCTTTTTGTGAAAGGTTTAACCCTTTGAGGACAGGAAGCACATATGTGTGCTTCGATTCTAATATAACCAGTACGTGGCCTAAGCAAATCTCTCACGATACTCTAATGGCAGATATGACAGTATAGAACACACATTTATCATTTTCGATGCGGATGTGAGTGGATGCGACTGTAGGTGTCGGTGTAACGTGTGGTTGTTCTTCTTGCATTCATATACAAACCTTATAGCCATATTCACACCGTACATCCTTTTTTTGCTACAGTAATTCCGTCTCCAAGGTGTTAAAATACTATCAAATACAACTAAAAAAGAATTATACGATGCTAAAGATATTCAGCACCAGAGATATATAAATTATGACTATCTACAAATATTACTCGATGAATTATAAATCGAGTTAGATAATAATAAAATAACTGTTTGTCAATTATTTACTGAAAAACAACAATTAATTAAACGATTAAATCATCGAAATGAAACAAAGCAAAAAAAAAAACAATAATTTTACTTGAACAAAATTTATGCGTTGCAAAACATGATTTCAATGTAGTTAAAATAGAATTATGAAGTACTTCAAAATAATTTTAATAACTATAAGATTCGAGCACAATGTGTTTTTAAGCAATCATAATGAATCGATCTTGAACGTTCACTATCAACATTATAAAGTCAATTACAAGAATCAAAACAACAAATTGAATCATGAAAAAGTCGATTGTATTATTACGATAAATAAATGTTGAAAACGAACCAAAATCTTTCCAACCTGAATTTAATAATGATATTAATAAAGATGACCGTGAAACACGCTCTTTTCAAACATTAAAGGATAATTCAATTTCAATTCATAATCAATTGTTTAATATTTTTCGTTTGAAAAAATCAAAACTAAATAGTATTAATTTAGTTTCTGATACTGTATTTACTGAAATACAATATTAATTAAACAAACCATCACAAATGATTATACCAAAAGCAAAAATAGCATTCAGCATCAAAATTTACAATAATATTCTGAAAATTTATTGGCTTATGAAACCTTCGTTTGATCCTGGCGGTGAGGTATTGGTCAAGCGAGCGTTTAGCTTTGTTTGCTTGGTCTGAAATATGAAGGAAGGTGTCAAGATGTACCATCTATATATGTTATATAGATGAACGATCCTTCTTCTTCTTTTTTCTCCTCTATCTATCTGTTAGAAATATAGTTAGCTGTTGTATTTTACTATCGAAGGTGGTGATTCATTCATATTTAGTGATTTAACATTGACCTCTTAATATTAAGCTGTTGTTGTTATTGTGCTTGCTTGTTTCTTTTTTTCTTTCTTTTTCTGGAAGGCTTTACTGCTTGTTATATTGTTTAAATAAAAGATATACGAAACCTGACATTGAGAATTAATTCTATAAAAGTGGCAACAAAACGTTCTTGAAACCTAATGAACAGTATTGGATTGATTATAAAGCATTCCTAGTCATTTAAACTTGCCAACACGTTACAAAATAAAAAGAAAGAAAGCGAGACAATATTCTTGATGAAATACAATCAAACAGAGACAAAGAAAAAAAGAAAAACAAAACATAACCTTCTTTTTTTTCGATATTTATTTGTTTACACATTCTATGAACGAAAAAAATGGCAACAAAGTTAGAAAAATATTACAAAAATGTTTGTCTTTTCGTTGTTTTCAATGTACTTTATTTGTTAATCTATTTTCCTTTTGATATTTGCATTTCCGGAAAAATACTCATATAATCATGTAGTCATGAATCAGTACAAACGTCATCGACCTAATTTTTTTTTCTCGCATGATAACCTTCCATATTGGCAAAGGTATCAACCATAAACTTGAATAATAGTGTCATTTTTTTATTTTTATTTAAGAAAAAGAAAAAAATGGATTCTGTCGTTCATCTATTGCTTGAGATAAATCGACCTATGTAGTCTATTTATATGCGAAGGAAAACAAATATAAGAAACAATTAGTTTAACTAGAGTGAGACTGATTGTATATTCACATTGCCAACATTACTTATCTTATTCTTACATTAGAAACATTTATGTATATGTGAAAGTAAAATTTAATAAACCAATGTCAGATATGTATTGATCACTTCTATGTGTTATTGAATTCAGGTATGAGGCAACAATCAATAGAGACATAAATATTTATTCTATAGAATAAAAGTGAATAACATTTTTTTATTTTTGTACTTTGTTCATTTCTTACGTATTTCTCTATTGTTCTCATATCTTTGTCATATGTTCCTTGTTGCTTTTGCTTTCATTCCTTCGATGAATAATATCATGCTTTTGCATAATAATTCTCAAGAAACATGACAAAGTATAGTGACATATCTACGATCTAGAAATCGATAGTTCGAATAAAGTTCACAGAATTCAACATACTACATATGTGACTTGACAATCTGTAACTTCAAACTATTATAAAATTCAAGGAAATAGAGTGAAAATTGGTGTGTGAATGTGGATGTTGTTCTCTTTTTCAATTTTTCACAGCCACTAGATATCATTGATTCATAACATTCAAGATTTTTCAACTGCTTCAAAAATTCTATCTGAACACATTATGTTTGAAATTAATCATTTGATTAGCGACTCAAAATCAACTGGCAACGTTCAAACAAACAACAAGATACTTTATTCATTTCACACCTGATTATGGCAATCGCTATAATGTTTCATGTGATTTTCATACCTGTTCAAGGATAGTCACCAGTAGTAATAACTTGTCAATAAATTACAAAATGAAATCCATCGATCGACTCTTCTGAACAATAAAGTTCTTATATGGTCGATCGCATAAGTCATGATCTTAAAGAAATCTAACGTTAAACAACGCACTGCTAGCATTTCTCATATAACTGTAAGATCAAACAATTATTGTTTTTTTTTTACTCATAAGAGAAAATTTTCGAAATTTAAGTGTAATTCTCTCGTGTATACAAATATTAGTGTACACTTTTTCGTCCTAACAAAACAAAACGCAGAAGAAGACAAAAAAAGAGAAAAAACATCGAAAGAAAGAAATAAAGGTGATGAAGAGTGTATTAATGAGAAAAAAAACTATCTACCTGATGAACATGTCATACTTCATCAATTTACATGAATAAACGTAAGTAGGAAAAAAAACCAAGTAACGTGGTCAACGATAAATACAAAACAAAATCGTTTGCTACCAATTAAAACAAAACTAGCATATCAGTATCATTTATTAGGTGAGTGTATTTAAATTTTTATATTGTTAAGCTAGCGGTAAAATAAAAATTAAATATCCAGAGTAGTTACAAAGAACAATAATGATTGGACATGAAAATGAGTAGAGGTATCATTTTACTGTTGATCTAAAATAATCATAAATTATCAGTAATATATATTTATTTTTAAATATATACTATTCGTACTTAGTTTATAATGTATAAAATTATAAATTAAATTACATTAAATTATACTATTTCTTTTTTATATGTCATCAGAGTCAGACGAGCTAGAAAAAAAATGTGTGAAAACATATTGAAATTTCAACAAAAATGAAATCATAAAAAGTACACATGTAAACGTGCTCATAACGCCTTCGATTTTTCATTCGATATAAATTTCTTCCGAAACTTCGATGTGTTGTGTACATGTAAAAATAGACACTCTTCATGATATTATTATGGATAAAATACGACGCATATTTACGTATTTTGTTTTTGCTATTCGTCTGTGTGAGATAAAATATCAAAAGTGAATAGAATTATTGTATTTTATGTATCATTTAATAAAGCATAAATTAAGTTTCTAGTATTTATATTTATAATAAATTAAATTGCCTATAATTTAAATTTATTTTTAATTAACAGGAAAATACTACAACTTCAAAAAGCTATTTCAATCATGACAAACTGACTCAAAACCGAAAATATTGATCGTCGAACGAAAGGTCTTTATTAACAGAATAAAACAAACATCATGATTTTTCAAATACAACATGCAGGGAAACTTTTCGTCAAAGACTCTCTATTTAGTCTTCTGTATGAGCATCTGTCAAACAGTGTAGTGTTCACATGAGTTTCATCAGTTGACATATTTGTCTTTCTAGAAAAGAATCTCTTGAAAGCTAGCACGAGTAAAAAAAAAGAAGAAGGCCTCATGAGAAGAGCATTTATGTCGATGAAATCGATCTAATGTCGTCGTATTCATAAGTTATAACCTAACTACAAATCAATCGAGAGTAGTGGTATGAGCACCATTCATACTTATTGCATTTCTTTCTAGGGCAAAACTTACAGAGATTATCTACTATAACATCATTATGTGAATGATATTTTGGGAGAGAAGATTTTAATGTTTCATTCTCGCTTGGAAGCTGTGTATTGTTTTCTAACCGGTCTCTGTAGTGCAATAATATCCAATGACTACCATGTAACGAAGGCGGCAGAAAGAATGACAGTCTTAGTATTTTTACAATAATCCCTTCAATTTTGCCTCCTTTCAGACGAAACTTGTTTCCTAGATCTACTCTACAATTCTATGCTAGATGTGTGTTGAAAGCTTTTCTGAGGAAATTTGATGACTAAAATTCAGCTGGAATGTTCAATATGCCAAGAAGAGCAAACTTTCGAAGACTGTTCGAAAATAAACTTCAGAATATCTTTAATAACAGTAGAGTGTTGATGTCGTTGTAAATGTTACTATGCATCTTCTCTTCTAGCACACCTATACCCTATCCAGTGCAATGGCATTCAAGTCATAATAGAGATGAAAAGCAAAGGAAAGTTGGAAAGAATGAGAATACATCAAAAAGTGTCCGGGCATTCAAGACTGCTCTCACAATTTCTTAAAATCGATTTTGGTTTAGGCATATGCGCATTGCATTGAAACCTTCAGAGAATATTGAGACAGTAGTAAACAGCCTGCGGTAAAATTTTCAGTTCTATAACATAATATCTGTGAAAGATATTCAACAAACAATGGCTTATAATGTGGCTCAAATTCTCTGTGGATCTTCATTCTATACATTGAACTTTTTTTTGTATTAACGAGTATGTCAGAATGCATGGGGTGGCAGTTTCTTTTTCATAAATTTTTACTTTTTTAAGGCGAAGAAAATCGATGAGCGGGTCAACAACTAAAAGCATTTCCACATTTTTGGCGGCTTTTTTAGTTCTTGAACTTGTCATGTGTTTTCTCCACTTAAAAGCTGACAAGTAAGAAAAGGTTCTGTACGGCAGTTCATCTTGACATGCTGTTTGCAATAAAAAAAATCAAATGTACAGAATAAAGGCTCACAGAGAATTTTAAATTACCCAATTAGCCATTCTTGGCGTTTGTTTGCTGAACATATCCTTCGGACATCATGTTATAGATCTGACAGTTTCAAAATCAGTTCTAAGAAGAATAGGAGTGGTCTGAAGTGTTCAAATACATTTTGAAGCATCTGCATATAGAGTGCTGCATTAGTCGTCTACACAGCGACTACTTTTTTTTTAGAGCATATCAATGGCAAAGCTTTGCATTATTTTACAATTAATTATTTCATTTGTGGTGATCGAGAGAAGTGGAGCTATTTCGAGTCCTGTAGCACCTTTCACCACATACAAACATTCGATCGAACTGCAGAAAAATGTAGCCGATCTCTGGTGGACAGTCGATGACAGTGAACGAGAGGTCACATTCGAATTACACATCAACACAGTAGGCTGGATAGCATTGGGTATTAGTTCAGGTAGATTTTTGTTTCTATTCAGCTTTCAGCTCTTCATTCACGATCTTACTATATTTAGCGGGTGGCATGAAAGGTGCTGACATCGGTGTAGGATGGATTGATGAGACAGGCAATATATATATTCAAGTAAAAAGAGAACCCATCTATTTTGTACTATAAGATCTAATTTGTCTGTTTCAAGGATCGCTATGCATTCGCCAATGGACGTCCTATGGTTGATAATACCACAATTGATTGGTTTGCTCTTCAAGGTCATGAAGTGAGCGGATGGACAGCTATTCAATTCAAACGTTTACTAGACACTTGTGACATCATGGATGTTCCAATCAAGGTAATGTTATATATCTTGAAATAGGGAAGTTGCTTCGACTACTGAACGATTAATGGTGAGAATTTCTCTCAAACCTATGTAAAGTCAACTGGAAAAAGTTGCAAGTAGAATTGCTATGAGCTGTGCCTAATAACGTACAGTTAGATTGTTTCGATGAATTTTCTCACGAAAAAAAATAGGAGATGAGGCTCTCACAAAATTGTACGACTAGGTGTTAATAGAATTTAATGGCGATTGAAACACATGAAAATTCTGAATTCGTGAACTTACCAATATCTGGATTCAGGTTTCGGCGTATGAAACTATTGGATTGAAGTGATGCTACTTCCTAGCTGAAAAGATCATTTGAATCAGACCAGTTTTCCAATGTGCAGACTACTCCACAATCTAGCTTTTTTCGACAGCTTCATCACCTCTGATGAGTGCAAGTTCAGTCTCGCGTAGTGAATACAATTTTTTTTCAGTAGAAACCAATTACTTTGCTCACTTCTATGTATATAATCTATAAATATCTAGTCTGGTACCAATCATCTTATTTTCGCTTATGGTCTGACCGATCCAAGTCCGTCAGGACCAAATGGTGAAATTTCTTACCATGAAAATCGACGCGATTCACGTGCTCTTTCTCTTCGATCATATGCTGATTCACCATCCGAAGATACATTTGCTGAACTAGACTACTTCGATTTTCGGTTAAATAACGTATGCCAAATTCCAGTGTCTTATTGAAGTCACTATTCTTTATATGGATTCGATCTTGTCTTTTTAGTATGTCGTTCCATCAGTGGAGACGACTTATCATTGTAAAATATACAAAGCTCCGAGTAATTATTCAATGAAACGACACGTCTTTGGTGTACGTATCATTTTCTTAAACTAAGTTTTATTTTTGTCTCATTCTACATAGCATAAGATAATTATTGATTCTGCCAATGAAGATCTTGTGCATCGTATACTGATGTATGAATGTCATCCAACAGCTCAATTTGATGATAATAACTTGCCTGACGATTTGTGTGATGCAATTCATCGACAAACAGCACTGTGTGTACATAATGTTGCCATTCTCTGGGATGTCGGTGGTGATTACGTAAGATGAAAGATATTTCCCACAATAGAACATATAAACAAAAAAGCTATTTAAAATAGATGGTTGCACTTCCAGAAGAAGCTGGCTATCCAGTTGGAGGTGATTTTCCCATCAAATATTATATGGTTAATATACACTATAACAATCCCAATCGACTTTCGGGTATGAAATTGAATTGATATGGAATGAAAATTAACAAATGGTTTTTGATATTTATTTAGATCGTACGGATAGTTCAGGTCTTCGCCTTTACATCGGCAAAGAACTTCGTCAATATGACCTTGGTGTTTTGGCTTTGGGCACTAAACCAAGCCCGGCTGCTCTTGCTATTCCACCGAAAGTGGAACGATTTATTGTTGACTCGTACTGTTCGGCGACTGCTACAACGGTAAATATGACTCTTTGTCTGTGCCTCATCTAAAAAACTCTTTATGGATACTGCTATAGAATTTTCCTAAAGAGGGCATCACAGTTATTTCTGCTATTCCACATATACATATGCCAGGTATGTTCTAAATAACAAATAGAGGATGGATATGTCGGCAACGACAAAGATTTTTCTAGGTCGAAGAGTATGGACAAAATTGATTCGAAACAAAACAGCTGTACAATATTTACCCGATAGAGGAGCGTTTGAATTTCATTATCAATATGAATATCGTTTACCACAACCCATCAAATTATATAGGGTAAGATATAATCGTATTGTTTTCCATTCGAGTGTTGATGTTTCTTTTGTAGGGTGACGAACTCGCTACAAGATGTATCTACAATACTATGAACAAGAATACAATCACTTTGGTAAGAAAGATTCGATGAGAAACTGCTTTTCGTTACGGAGCAACAGACAACTAGAATTCTGATTGATTTTTTCAGGGTGGTAAAAGTACCAAAGATGAAATGTGTCTTCATGTAATGAAATACTATCCTCGAATGAATAATATGTATGTTTGTTTGATGATGAATAGTCCACAAATATGGAAGTCAATGATGAACATTTCTTCGTTAGTTTATTTACATCGACAATTAGTTCTTGCTTTTATTAATGTGTATTTAGATCGTCTTTCGACGATTCTAAATTAAAAGAATGGCTTCTCAATCTAACATGGACATCAGAAAGAGCTGTGCAATGGCAAGAATTCTATAATACTGCATCTCGTGTGCTTGTGTACGGTGCATCACCTAAGAATAAGCTCAAGTTTATGTCCAGCTTACCCAAATATCAAGATTTGAAGTCGGCACCTTGCATGAAAGATCAAAGCATTTATCAAACTACTTCCAGTCATACAACAATGACGAATGAAGCGAAATCATATAATGCACTAATTCGCCAAAACATAAAGATTATATTAATAGCAGCAGCTTTTATCTTCATAATATCTGTATTTATTTATTCAATTCAAAAGCCGAAGTTTCATCGATTCACTCGATTTTATCAAGATGATAGCGATAACTGAACTTATTACACATTACATATCTATATACAAACCATATTGTTACGGGCTTACCCCTAACATTGTTCCACTCTATTTCACTTCATCCAGCTCTTTTCTATTTGCTTCTTGCCTTTCTTTTCTTTTTTTCGTATATAATATTATTATGAACTGATTTCATTCTTTCATCTCTTATATCTTTATTATGGCGACTACATATAGGGTGTGTGGGTGTGGGTTTGGGTTTGGGATTGATATATAGACGAAACATCAACACCCACACACTTCATCTATATATCAATTCCAAACCCATACCCACACCCACACCCTAATGAACAAGTATTGAAATAAACATGCATTTATTATTCTCGAAACACTAATTAAATTTTCAACTGAACAATCACCGCCGCCATGAGGAAAAAGAAATTTCATATTAACAGCCGTCGCCGTCTTGAGCAAAAAATATTAAAAATTTACAGTCATCATCGTCGACGAGCCTACAGATTTGGGCCAGCAGTCATGGAAAATTTTGAAAAATTAAATATTATTAGCAGCCGCCACCGATTAACCCGTCGACTTACACCTCTGGTTGCATCAAACATGCATTTTCTTTGTTGTTATGAGTTCGTTAAATTATTCCACTTGAAAGTGCTTACATTAATGCATGTAAGGAAATAAAACAGAACAAAACCAATAGTACAACAAATGAGGTATTTGAATTATATACGAGTGATCCTTTTTATTCTTGTTCATTACTGGTAAATTGAAGGAAAGAAAACAAGAAAAAAGTTAGTTCATATGCGAAAAAAGAAACAAAATAATAAAACAACAAAGAATATATTAACAAAAGACAAACCAAACGTCTAGTAAGCGATATGGCGACTTGATGCTATATATAATAGCTTGTTCAGCATATGTACTAATATTCTTTTTTTTTTCGACTTTATACTATGATCAGTTTTACACATCTTTATTACTTGTCGAGGTTGGCATTCTTCCCGTAATATGTTTTACTTGTATCCATGATTGACTTTCGAGTTCACTGACACCCAGTAAACTTGCTAAGAATCTGCTGTCAAATAAAATGTTTCACTACAAATTTGCAGCTTGTTTTCCACCTTGAGAAGTGGTCAATATCGTTCGTAAGGCAGACAGAAATCTGTAGCCATAGCTAGATCGAACACTGATAAAGCTATAAGCAAGCTAACATGTCTCTAATTCAAGGAGAAAACAGCGATTATTGATTTTGTGATTTAAAATGAGTTCAAAAATATTTTTTATGAGTTTTTCTAATTTAAAATCATTTTCATGAAAAAAGACTTTGCATAATTTGAAGTAATGTGAGTGATTCTTTTTTCTTAATGCAATAGTAGAGTTATTTGCAATTATTCTTTTATGCAATAATAAGTTGAATTCTAGAATGTTTCGTGATTAATTTACTCGGACTATTCATCACGTCATCGCCAAGAGAACGAATCGATACGCAAGACAAGATAAGAATTTGGACGATATGTGTTTTGACCAGTACACAATAAGACTATTGAGCACCTAATTAGTTATATATGAAAAGGGCATCAAAAAACAAGATCTTGGAGGACCAATTTTAATATATGTAAAATGAGCACCAAAAAATAAGATATTTGAGTACCAAAGTTACGTTTAGATGAAATCAGAATAACATTGGTAGCTTTACAAAAAAGTAGCAACAGCAGATAAATCATAAATACAAGAACAAGCAAATAATTAAATATGAATATAATGAAGAGCAAACAACTCATAATAATAAAACAGACCGAGCTTTTTTTTATCTATCTTCTTCTCGTCGTTCACCTACAAGTTCCGAACACGTTTTATTAGTTAATTAAGACTGTTATTCTTTAAACGAACAAGTCAATATAAAGGTCTAATTTGAGAATAGCCATGCCAGGATTTATAGTTTTTTTTCTTTTCTCAATAAGAAACACAATAAAAGTAAATAATATAAATAGCAGTACAATTTTATTATAATTTTTATTTTTTATCATAGTTAGTCACGCGACAGAGATGAAATTCGAAAGACCTCGCATTATTGACACTCTTTTCCCTACCCATTGTTTTTTCTTATTACTTTTAGCCGCCGTTCTTTTTCTTTCATTATCGCGCACCCTGGCAAAACAGAAAATAAAAATTATAATAATTAAAAATTTATTACTACATATATTATTCTCTTTTACTTTACTCCTTATTGAAGAAAGAAACGATAAAAAAAAGAAAAAAGTCTATAAATTCTGATATAGCTATTCTCAAACTATATCTTCATGTTGACTTGTTCAATTTCAACAACTGATTGATCACTTTTATATTAATTTTTTCATTGCATGCTCAATTGTCTCATTGTTTGCTGCTGTTTTCACACATTATTAATTTGGTGGTTAATTGTCTTTTTTGTGGTGCTCAATAAGTCGTTTTTTCCTCCGGTCCCGTAATGAGATGAGTTAGCTGTACGTATCAACCATGTCACACTGTAAGAAAAATTACCAGGTAGATAATTCATCGGAATGATGTATATGAAACCGATAAATTAATGAGGAATATGAGAGATATCAAAGATTTGTTTTACGACTTATAAATAAATGTAATAAACTCCCCCTTAATAGAAGATTTCGGGCCTTCTATCATGTCTCAGTGTAAATTTTTCCAGTGGAGTCTTGTATTATGTCCCATATTTTTTCTCAATTTTTAATTAAAAGGGTTTTCCAGAAAATCGATGCGGCTTTTAAGATTTTCACTAGGGTTTTGAGGCTTTTAAAGAGTTAGGGATAATTTTGAACTCACTTTCTTAAGATACTCTGCTTAAAACCCTAAAAACTAGGCATATTTTCAGAGAATTCCATAATTAAAGCTCCTAATCAGCAAAAAATTAATTAATTAAAGGGAGGTCTTCTATTGCGAGGAAGGTTAAGAATATTTGTTCAGGTAGACTATCTAATGACACAGGAGTATGATGACCCATGTAAACACTTTGAATTAAGAATCGGATTAAAAACTGATGATAATGGCACTATTATGATTTGGCTTTAATCAGGTTTTTCAGCTTTAAAAGACAAGTTTTATTTGATTTTGATTTTTTTTCAATCTATTTTAATCGATTATTATAGTAGTTGTAGGTAATCAATTAAAATAGATTGTAAAAAAAACCAGAATCAAATAAAATTTGTCTTTTCAAGCGTCAAAACTTGTTTAAAATCAGATTATAATAGTGCCATTATAATCAATTTTTAATCTGACTCTTCATTCAATTCTTTTTTACATGGAAAATGTAATTATTACTATGAGAAAAATGACGAGACGACAAGAAAAGAACATGTAAAAGAGAAAAAAAAGGAAGAAAGAATAGTCAGGGAAAGAAGAAAACAAGAAAGTCAGAGAGAGATAACCAGAGGGAAGGAGAGATGAGACAAAGGAAACAGCAGAACATTTAAAGTATGGCATGAAAAGAAAAAAGAAAGACAAATAGAAGAGAAAAGTGACGACATCGGAAAAATTAGTTTTCGTCAGTTTTGCGAATGCCCTTTCTTGTTTTATATTGATACATGACTGAGAGTCACGTCAACATATATCACTGATGCTTCTGTTTCAGTCATCTTACATATCATAGACGAATAAAATATCTCACTCCTTGTTATTCTCTGCTTCAAAACTATGTTTTGCTGCAATAAACAGTAGTTTTAGACAATATAAACTGTTTTAAACGACGAAGTCTCATTTCTTGAACTACATAGATAGTAGACTGCGTTTACAAAAACTCACTTGTTTAGTAGGCAATATGCGATTAAATGTTAGTTACTTCTGCACTTTATCTAACAAGATTTTCTCATAGAATCTAGAATATATTTCTAGGAAGGAAACCAGTTTAACTTTGTTTCGTATTTTGACACTACTCTTCTCATTTTGTTTCAGTTAACAATTTTAGTCATTCTTCCATCTTTGATCAATTGACTATTATTTATGCAGTTGTTGAAACGTTTTCACAGGTACTGGCCGAAAATTAGAAGTGCTTCTTCAATTATAAAGTTCCAGTTGTTATCCCCTCCGGTAGGCTTTTTAGGTTTAAGTTCATGAATGAAATATTGTACTTCACAAATATTTTCAGATCTTACTTTCTGATCACACAGAAATCATGTAGTCAAGATCTTGCTGTAGTTTACAACCATTTGAGCATCATGTTTAACAAGATAGTACAGAGTCTGCATTGAAAACATTTTTTTTCTACTCATCGAAGAATTCTTCTACTATTAGTTTTTATGAAGTTAAGTGAGTACTTTACACAGCTAACTATTGAAGAGTATGGAGACATAAGTTCTACGTATGAGAGATTCTTTCAAAAAATTGTTTTAAATTTCTTCCCTTTCTTGACTGTATGTTTGGTCTCGTCTATCAATGTTGTCTTTGTTGTTGCGTGATGCCAAATCATAGCTACTGGGTGGATATGGGCGTGAGGGTGTGGATGTGGATGTGGAGTGTGAGTATGGATCAAGGAAACACTCATACCCACATCCCACACACACCCTTAATCATAATGCCCAACCATTTTTTGATCCTAATTACAACACAACTACATTTTCGTCTTAGTCATGATATCCAGTTATTTGTTCATCCAAAAAACAACAC